GTCAAGGAACTGTCACTCAGTACAGATTTGTCCAGTATTTATCACAAACTGAAACATATTTCTGATTAGGTGTGGGTGTTCTGTTGTAACAGAAGTGCTAAATAATAATGGTTATACATCTTGCAAGTGCAAATACTTGTATGTACAAAACAGTGCAAATATTGTATGTGCAAATCTAGGTTTTTGCATGCTCTAATAAGGTGGTTTTCAAAGGCACATTTATGGATCTCTGAAAAATTTGACATTTTCAGCTTTCAGCCTCTATTACTGAGTTCTAAAATAATTACTCACCCTTCTTTTAAATGTTTACACACTTTAAAAATACAGTCAAATGATTTCAGATGTATAAAGCTTGTTAAATTAATGGAGTGTAATAAAAAGTTAGTACATATAAAAGTTTATAAGATACAAGCAGTTAAATGATTAAAAAGATATAGCAAAATAATCTTGGAACTAGACTATCATGTATTTGTTGTGCATCATCATGTTAAAAATTTTCAAAAGGTTTACACTGAAGCCAATTAAAAAAACTGAGAAATAGGAAAAATGGATGGATCAAATACGTCTTTTTTGGAAACTTAAAGTTTTCTTAATATTGCTCCAAAAATGCATCCATAGAAACAAATTAGGAAATAATTGCTTTTTTCCCTTGGAAAAAATCAACCCAATGAAAACATATCATGTTTGCTCAAAATTTTCTTCAAAAATATTGGATGTGGTTGTGATTCTTTAAGAAAAAATGTATAGTTTTGTTACTTAAACATAGGAAGTCAAAACAATTCCATATATTGAAGAAGAAATTTTGCAGGGAAACTTTTGTCCTGGTATACTAAGTTTTGTTTTATCTTATTTGTTCCGGCCACTTTCTCTGTCCCTGACAAATATACATACCCCTGAGATATGTATATCGCTCTTTTAGTGCTTGCTAGAAACAAAAACCAGACAGCATTACTGATTTCTGAATGTCTGATGATCATAAGGGACTGCGGAGAAGGGAAGTTACTTCCTTGGCAGCTCTTCATAGAATGAAAATGAGAGATGTAGCTATCTTACACCTTTTGGTCAAGACCCCACAGGTTTCATATTACTACTTTTTAAGGCCAGGAGTCATCTTTCAGCAGTGCAGACAAAAGTAAGGGTCAGGTCTCTACTGCTTGAACAGAAGCCCAGTATAGACAAAAGATGGTGGGGAAAGAGATGGTTACTTGCTGGGAGAGTGAGGGGAAGGTCCATATCGGCAGAAGTATACAATACAGCGATCTAAAGTTGAGATCATGGAGTGCAATACGTGACTCACATTGTATTGAGCATCTGCTCACCTATGCTACTGTCTGCAGTGCCACTAGAATCCTAAATCTACCTGTGGTTTAGGGTCCTACTTAACATTTTGCATAGACCTAATAAGAATTTTATGGTTGCTTAGAGCAAATCTAATGGTCCCTGAAAACTTATTTAATGTAGGGAAGGGAAACAATTGCTTGAAAACAATATTTACCCAAAAGACTAGAATGGCTCATTAGATACATTTGTATGTGGGCTTTTTCAATTTACACTGCATTATTGAAAATAAATATAAAAAGGTAACAGCTCCCCTGGAACCACTTAATCCATCATGTACTTTCTCTGTACAGTTCTGTGGTTTACTGCTGTGAAAGTATAAAAAAATTCTGCAGTGCAAAATACAATTCTTATTAAGTACTGTTACTGTTTCCAGTAAATCATTTCAATAAAAATAACTCAGGCTTTTAGGAATGTGAGTTTTTCAAACTGTTGTAAAATTACTACAATATATTTTACACCAACCATTTGCCAAATTTGATTTTGCTCAAATTAGACTAATGTTTGTGATATGGCAGAAATGTAGATAAGCAACAAAAAACCATTCAGGATGGGAGCAGGGAGGTTACAACTTCTCCAAACTGAAATATTTTAAATTTCTTACTAAAGAGATACATAAAGCAACATATTCATTGACTAAAACTGTGCTAAGTTTTTACTCGGGGCTTCTGTGAGTACACTCAGAGAGTGACTTGTGAACGAGGCTCTAATTGCAATGGGTTAGTTATACTAAATATATACCCTGTCTTGTGAGATAGCTAAGAAAGCAGTGGGGAAAAAAAAAAATCTTTTGCATTAATTCTATTAACCACTGATAAGGGACTAAAAATAATTAATTAGGGGGTTATTTTTGAAGTTAGATATCCTGATAACTTTGCAGCCTGATTTTTCCTAGATGCAGAGCACCCATAAATCAAGTTTAGACACAGAAGTCATTCACTATTGTTATTAACAATATCAAAAATAACACAACAAGAGGGCACAAACTGAGCTATTATTCCTTTGGTGTTTGACAACAATTTAAATTTAAGAAAATGAATACTGAAATACTTTACTACTTATGATGAAACATACAGGATACTCATAGAGAACAATGAAATAGTTAAAAAGATGTTGCTCATTGCTGAACGCTTATGCTACATTTGATCGTGAAATTGTTAGCTTTTTGGATATTAGGTGCAAAAAAGTGCAAAGACTATTTAGTTAACTGTTACAGTACCACATTACAAAAAGTATTTTCTAGGCCACAAAGGCCACTGCTGATATAATTAAGATAAATGTATACACAAAATAGTTTTTCAATCTCCACATATATATATATACCTGTTTCTATATCAACCTTGCAAAATCATGATGAAAATGATCTAGGCCACAAAATCTCATGATGATAACAATGATGGGAGGAAAAAAAACCCACAGAGGAGAGCTTGTTCTCCTGTTTAAAAAATTACTCAGCCAGAGCAAACAGAGGAATGAAATTCTGCAAGGCTGTTCTGTATTTATGGTGATGAAAATACAATCTTGAGCAGGGAGGATCAGTGTTCAGCATTACCAACCCTCTTTGGACTATTTCTGTCTAGAGGCCATGAATAGCAGCCTGGAACAGACATCCAAAAACTTGGGCTGGAGCCTTTTTTTTTTTTCTTTTTTTTTCTTTTAATTTGTAAAGAATGCCTGAAAGCTTTATTTATTTGTTTGTTTGCTTGCTTGCTGTGTTTGTGTTTGTAGGCACAGAAGGCAAGGTATAAAACCTGCCTCCTTTTTGCCTTAGAAACACCTGTAATGTTAAGACCAGCCTTCCTAACTTTTCTGGAGCAGTTAAGACACTTCAAGGCACATTTGACTGTCTTAGAGATTAGTTAGCGGAATGGAGGGACTGGATCTTCATAAACGTATTCTGTGTCAAGCAGGCCAAACTAACCAAGCCAAAACGGTTCTTCAGAAGTCTGTCTAAACTGCCTTTTCCCTTCATAACTAGATTAATTCTCACACATTCTTCCATTATCGTAAAACAATCTTCCATTGACATTTTTCTTGTGTGTGACACTTTTCTTCTGTAAAAACGCTGTTTTGGAAAATACTGTCTTCTCAGTTTTCTTTTTACATTACAAAGATACAAAAAAAGCTGCCACCCCAACTTTTTTCTAGTTGCAGTTCAGCTTTCAAAATCTCAGGCCCAATGGTGCAGTCTTTGTCACGCTCTTCGCAGAAAAAAAAAAAAAACCAGGAAAAAGAAAAAAAGAAAATAACTGTCTAACTGAGGTACACTGCAGTGCTAAAAAGAGCTAAATCCACAAAATAATGTGTACTTCTCTTCCAGTTTTTAAAACAGCTCACTTCAGCCAATACTTTTTTGCATTTGCTGTCACTGTGTATTCTAATTAATGAGTTTACTAGTTTATGAAATGGTTACATTTCAATTTCTCTCTCCATATATTGACACAAAACATATCTCAAGTTCATATTTGGCATATAATTCTAGAAGCATGCAGCCTGGGACCAGAAACTACTCCACGTGAGCTATTCACTCAGTCAAAATAACTTCAAAGAAATCTAATACTGTCACACTAAATCAAGAATCAGAAAAATGTTCTGTGTAACTGCAGGTTTTGGTCAATTTTTTGAACAGCTAAAACACATTAAATAAATTCCTTTACTTCAGAGCATTCTCTCGCCTACGGTTTGACCTGCATAAAGACTGAATAAGGACTGCATCATGCCAGCAGCAAATGGGCTATTTTGAAGGGCCTGGATGCACCTCACCAGGAGACACCTACATCTCTGTGGAGCTACGTCAATTTCCACACAACTCATTGCAGAGGTATTTGCTTTCCACAACAATACCCGTACGTGCGCTGTTCAGTGCCATGCAGAGACATCTGAGCTAGCCCTTCATCAGCCGGTGGGTACTTGAAACAAAACAGCCGCTGAGTACACCCACCTGCCTGGGTGCATGTGCCTGGTTGTTTTGCTGGACAGGCTAACGAGTTCCTGTAGGTGCAGCGGGCGTCTTGATTGCTGAAAGATTATAACTGCATAGATCCAGGTGTGAATCCTGTTCCATAAAGGTTAAACTAAAACCCAGTGAAGCCAGTAGGGTCCTTCTCATCAGCTTCAGTGGGCTTTTGAACAGCCATTCCTCCCTGCCCAAGGAATGAACTGACTTTCCAAACACTCAAAACGTGGCAACAGTTGTTTTTTCATGCAACATTGTTTGAAGTGTTATCTTGAGAAGTCATACAGGATTTAGTGCAATTTAGAAGAAATTTACTACAAGAGCTATATTTGCTCTCCCTCAAAAGAATTAGGCATTACAAGCTGCAGTGGTTTTGAATTGCTTAAGGGATTTTTTTCTGATTTCTTTGTCTATGCAAAGATATAGGTCATATCAAAACACTGCTTGGATGTGACACTGGATATATGCCAGCGAGAAAACAAGTGAATGAATTTGTATGAGGAAGGGTTATATTTGGCTCAAGTCAACTTCATTCATACAGTAAGAAATTATTATAAACTGTAATATAAGACTTAGAATAGGAAAAATGTATTTTAATAAAAAAATATGGATACAGTTCATCTGCGGAAGCCAAACCTTCTATTTATGTAGATGTGAGCTACAAGGGAGCTTTGGACACTGAACACGATGAATCCACTCTTGTTCCTTAGGGCGTAAGCGGTGGTTTTGGTGATGAACAAGATCCCTGGCTATCAAAACTGGTTGCTCGGCCAGGTAACTGCAAGAAAAGCGTTAGTTTTACAAATGTCATCATATCTGGCCATGCATCACACTCATTTCAGAGGATGAGAGGCTCCCTCAAAGAAGAACCCAAATCACATCTAGACCCTTTCTGGATCAAAGTCTCCAGCAGAACTAATAATGGAAAGAAAATTCCTAAAGTGAGCTCCTAAAAATGGCTCTGAGTCATTCCACAGGAGTGGGTTTATTTCACCAATCAGGGGTGGTACATGAGCCAGGGAAAGCCATGAACCTCTGAAAAGAGGTTTCTCTGCTGCACTGACTCAGTTTCCCTGCCCTCACACTTTAGGTGTTTTACTGAAGCCTTGCTGTTGGGCTTTTTCTACCTGTCACTGGAGATGCTGTGCAGCATTGGGGAAAACAAATGGCCCGTGATGCCTCAGACAGCAACTCATTTTTCTACAGAGACTGGGTTTGGGGAGGGCTAAACAGCATGTTCTCTGTGTTCCAAAGCAGGGCCTGCTGCTTCTTGAGGCTTCAATATGAATCTTTTTGAACCCGAAGCTGTGAGCATTTTGTATACAGAAAACCAGTAAGATGTGGCCAGAGCAGGTTGAAGAGGGTGTCCAAGCCCAGGGACTTGTAGATATCATCACCCATGCATTTGAATAAGCTTCCGGTAAGTGTCTGTTTGAGTAACTCTAGAGGTAGCTGCTGGTATGGTACCTCAACTTAGCCTAATTAGCAGGCCAGTTTCAGATTAATGTTTTAGCAACAAAACTGTTCATGCTAAGGATTTTTGAATAGGAAATGATTGCTTTTGAAATACTTGCAAATGATCTTTTCTAAGTGAATGTAAGCTCCTTATCATAATCTCTGGAAATTTCAAATGTCTTAATTGTTTAATGGTACAATGCTGTCAGCGCACCATGGAAACTTTTCAAGTGGTGCATTTAAGCAATCAATAAACCCATGCAACTAGATTTAGGTTGTGCTAAGGATCTTATAGCTGCTCCATCGATGCTGCACTGATTTTCATGATTCTCAGAAGCACGTAAGTGTGAGAGAGACAAAAGCATTCAATATACTGAAAAGGAGAGAATTTCGCTACTTCTTACCTCTACTAGTGGATGCCAGTGAGTTATTGGTTTACGTGGGTAAGCCAACATTTCATTCCAATGATCTCTTCCAAGCCCTTCAGCATCAATTCCTGTCCGACATACCCCAATGACCTCATTGTGCCCTACTCTGAGAATTGTAGAGAGGCAGAATTTTTTTTAATAAAAATAGTTTTAATAACATCTGATGTATAATTCAGTTTACTGGTTTAGTGCAGCACAGAATACATGCCCAAAGTTTTCACAGTATTTATTACAGATATTAGTTTTAGTGGTTGTATAGTAATATTAAGTTCTGTAATGGTAGCATCAAAAACCTCCAGCCACTACCAGAGTGCTTCTAGCAGCTACAAAAATAGCAATGAAGACACAATCCTTGCCATTAAAAGGTTACAACCCAAACGGCACAAGGACAGAAAAGGACCATAATACACCAAATGACCTAGAAGGAAAACACGCTTAAATTTTGTGGGAGAGGAAGGTGAAGGAAGGTGATGGGAAATACATTTCCTGCTGCAAATGCTTCAGATGTCATTTCACACTATATTTCCCAGCTCTAACTCTTGTGGTCATTGGAACTTCAGCCAAAAATGTGAAAGAGAGGGGTATAGCTGTAATAGGCTATAACTTAATACTTCATACTCTTGGCAGCGCCATAGAGTTGTTGAGGGACTCCAGAAAGTAATTTTCTGTACCTTGCCTACATGTACCTTAGAATAATGTTTCCTAACTTCATGTTAGCAAATGCTTTGAAAGGAGCAGCTGAAGAGGCCTGAAAGTGGGCAAGTTGCTGTGCTCTTCTCCCCAGTGGCACCACAGTGCCCCTTTCACATCTGACCGAGAAAATCTTCCTGACAGAAGTTGGAGGACGATCAGAAATCTGATGGTGAGGAAAAAGAATCTGAAGGTTCGTGTTACTAAACTGGACTTTCACTGTTTATTTGCCCTGCCGTCTCAAGAGCTCATTACTAATAGCACTTGAACAAAGCAGACTTGGCTCAGGCATGATTCTGCTAGTCACTCTCTAGTTTAACCTGCAGTCCTTGAGCTACTCTAAGCAGGAGTATCTTCCTGTCAGTTCTCGGTGAGGACATAGATAATTGAGGCTCAGTGAGCACTGAACCCAAAGGTTACAAAGCTTCTTTATTGTGTCAACTGAAAGATTAATTATGACTTAATTCAATGAGGTAATTGGCACCTAATTCTTTTTTAGTTATCGAAATTTTCTTTGATTTCAAATACCTGGCATTTAAATAGAAATTAGAGATGCGAGGGTCTTTTTTAAACTGAGACATACCTGATTTATAAAGCTTTTATATAGTCTGGCCACCAGATGGGGACAGAAATGTATGCCAATGCTAGCGGTCCATAAGAAGATTGAGCCATGTTTCTTCCTCGTCACAGTTATTTATGACACAGATAAAATGGCCTGAGCTCTAAAAGGTGTGGAAGCTTTAAAACTCTTCAGGAAAAGACCCGAAGGCTTTATCTTTTGTGACACTTGAACTGACTTGAAAGTTCAGGGAGGTAGAAAGCAGTCGCTTGCAATGATCAGGTAACCTCTCACTGAAGATTAATGTTCAGAAAGCAAACTGTGCTTACCGATCGTAATCCATCACTGCAATGGAGAGGCTGACCTGGTCCACATTCTCTGGAGGGATATCAAAGATGATGGCCTCGTTATAAACGGGATTGAGAGTGTTCTTCTTCGTGGTTGTTTTCCTCTTTTTCAGTCTTCGACCCTCACACATCAGTGACACTTTGACATACGGATCTGTGTAACAGATAATCAGTTGTGGGCATTTGGACCCAATGTCATTCAAACGTGTAGTGTAAGAGCAATATTTTTTTGTAGGAATGTCATATTGATAAGACAAAAGCTTACAATTATTTTAGTGACCCTGGCAAACACTGCTTTCAATATGCTGTCAATGCAAAGGAAAGGTATGTGCATTCTGAACAGACATACCGACTGCCAGACCAAAGATAGCCAGTAGATCTGAACAGGGCCTACACCCATTCTCCTGCTACTTCCATTTCACAACCATGCTAAACACACAAAAACCAAGGAGTTCCTATTTGTACCCTTCCTGAATAGACTCTGCCTTGTTATTTAAAAAATAAGTAGATTCACCTGATGCGCCAGTTATATCCATTGCTTTGAGATTCCTACATTTGATGACTGTAAATGTCATTCTCCCAGCAGTAGGCAAATAACAGAGGGAAAACATGATCTCACCCAAATCTATGCTTTCCTGAAAAAGAAAAGCAATGATTAGAAATCTGCCCATATTGCCAACAATTCAATTCAGATCATGCAAAAATTTAGAATTTTTTTTAACACAGAGAGACTTCTTTTGCAGCCTCAGATGCTTTTGAAGAGGTCACAAGCAATTTTCAGAAATTATTTCTGTAAAATACGGAAAGAGTGCCAACAGGATAATATTTTAGTGGCAGGATCTAGAATTACTAAACTGAAAAATTAAAACAAAAGCAGATCCAAAACTTTCTGGATTCCTGATATGTTTGTGTTGAATTTACACAAATGAAAAAGTACCGAGTGTAGAACATCAAGTTCTGATGTTGAAAAGACTCAGACTCCATCCTCTCCAATAGAAAGAAATACGGTGGAATATTTAGATGACGCACATTTACATGCCTTTTAGCATGGAAGGCTAAATAAATTCCTACATGGAATTTATGTAGGATATTTATTTCTGCACACATGTATGCATATGAAAATTTTATACTAAATGCTTTGAAAAGATGAACGTGCTTGTAAAAGTTGCTAGCTTTAACGCTCTTACTGTTCTTTGAGGGGTTGTTCTGTTTTAGAGACAAGCAAAGTAAAGAAGTAGCACCTACAACTTTCCTGGCTCAAGGGCAACTTTTTGGAGGATAGTATACTCAGGAAGATGGATAAGGTCCGTCTTAATAATTCTCACAAAAAGATAGTTTCGATGTTGAGACATTGTGCTGTGAATTCGTGCAATATGATATTGCTATACAGTTCAGATGCTACAACACTTGAGAAATGTAATCTAAGGAAGAGAGCTTCCATCAATTCTTATATTTTCTTTCCTCACAGTTATATAATTATCCTAATATCACAAAAGTTTAGTTGTTGAGATGTTAGTTATGTTCTAAATTTCTAATTCCTCTTCTTCTAACATTTTAAAAACGCCCCCAAAACAGCTCAAAGAAAATTGCATATTAAGAACAACTCAGGATTTTTAAATATGAGCTTGTGAGGAGCATGTAAGGAAGTCACTTCTGTAAGGCAGCCATTCTCAAGCATGCTCATGTGATCTCAAAGGACTTTGACTGATACTAAAAAGCTTATTTTTAATATCCCAGCTTCAATATTTTATCTGTCAAACCTCCAGCAACCCCAAGAGTACAAATTTGTTTGAGAACTGCTGGATTCATGGTACAGCTGTTCTAGCATCAGAAGGCAAGCGTGATATATTTTTAAATGATACATACTAAAATAATGATTGTTGTGTAGATGACAAATACATTGCTTATAGTTATGAGACAGACTGGGGCTTCTTCTTCACATTTTTCAGCTGCTTATATGAACAGTTTTATAGACTTCCTTCAGGTTAATGCTCCGTCTAAATTGAAACAAGTACTTCAGATCTTTCTTGAGTAAAGATGGACTTAATCACATGCTTCAGGGTTTTGGTCCCCCCCACCCCCCTGCATTGCAGACTCTAGATCAAAGAATGCAGTTTTAGAATAGCTTTAAATTCTCTGTTGCACTGTTAATAAAATATTGACTTTTGTATAGGTTGGTCAATTCACATGTTCAGTCATTTTGCTGGGATTCTGTTCTGAGAATTGAGAGATTGATAAGCATGTGAACATGCACTGTAAGCAAATTTCATGCTTGTCAGGATTTCAGGATTTTAGATTTCTCAGGATTTCAAAATGATTTAGCTCATTCAGTCCACATAGGATAAATACAGCTATTTGACATCTCCTTAGCCCAACCCGTTACTTTGCCACACAGAGCGCAGAATTTTGTGCCACAGAGAACATTAACAAACTCACTTTTCTGTTTCAGAAAATATAAATAAAACTTGAACAAATGAAGTGTAATTCCTTTCACTGATTTGTTAAAGTAGCAAGTGCTCTCTGTTATATTTTACAGTTTTTGTCATATCTGAAAACTGTTTTGAGCACAGCTTCTATTGCTAGCATTACCTTCTGAATTTAGAGTCTGATTGTTGTTCCTCATATCCATATGTGAAAGAGATCTCACTCTTTTGTTTGAAAAAGAAATATAGCTCCCCCACATCCAGTGCTTCAAGGTCTATGTTGAGGGAGGTGATGAAGATGAGTTGGATTAAAAAACACAGTGGGCAGCTCATAAAAGGGACTAGTTCTTCCTTCTTCAGAGAGATGACTTGTGTAGGTGAATAGAGAAAAAATCATTTTTGCAAGATGGGAGTATGAACTTGAGTATTCTATTATTTCTTTTTGAAGAGAAATTGGATAGACACTCAAAGGTTTGGGTGAGCTCAAATGATAAACAAGAATACAGACAGACAGGACCATTTACCATAACGTAAATACTTTAAAAGAAACATTGCTCAAAATACTTGCAGATCTCCATGTGGTGATTACTCTACCCTACTTTTCTGAAGAGCAGAGAAAAGAATGAGTGCTTAACAAAATGGCAACGGTTTGAGGCTTATGCTCTGTCCTTTTTCTTTCCTTTCTGAACATGATGTACCGAAGTTATATTGAAAAAGATCTTGGAAAATCTCCTGCCATCAAATCCAGTGATTTGACCATGCAAAGAATAAGCAGGATGCCTTAATGCAAAAAGAAATGCTTGGACAGCAAATGAGGGGAATCTTTTCGCTCTGCACAGCAGACTGTCCAAAGGGCAGATGTACTGAAGCTACCCGAGCTCTGTAACCTGTGTACTGACTACTCAGTTTGAAGTGGTAAGTGATGGTTTTAGGATTGGGAAAAGGCTCTCTACCACTCCACTGTTTATGCAGGCATTTTCTGACTCCTATGACCTATAACTGGAAAAAATGTGGCTTGTGCTGCCCTGAAATGTCTGATTTTCATTTTGTGGAACAACACTCATGTTGCTCTATGCACTATTTCAATAGATAAATTCTGCAGTAGCCTAGAACAGATATTATTTCAAATAAACACCCTTGTCTATATCAAAGACATTTATGACTTACGCATTGTAAGATCAAAGGGCTAGAAATAAAATTAGTAGTTACCCTGCACTAATCCGTAGACACCATTTAACTCTCCTCCTGGTGAAGAGAACTGGCTGTCCTAGATTGCCACCACAGACTAGGAGTTCCCATTGTCCTCAGATCAAGTTCAAATACAAGTCCTTTCAGAATCCTTTGAAACAACTCTGATGATTTTATCTTTTTAATTTAATTTGGTACTAATTGTGGCATCTGATGTTTGGTAGACAGTGTCTTTTTGGTTAGTAAGGAATAGAAAATCCTAGTACTTTTACTCACAGAATCAGAGAATCATAGAATCATAGAATCACAGAATCGTTTAGGTTAGAAAAGACCTTTCAGATCATCAAGTCCAACCGTTACCCTAGCACTGCCAAGTCCACCACTAAACCATGGCCCTAAGCGCCACATCTACACGTCTTTTAAATACCTCCAGGGATGGTGACTCAACCTCTTCCCTGGGCAGCCTGTTCCAGTGCTTGACAGCCCTTTGGGTGAAGAAATTTTTCCTAATATCCAATCTAAACCTCCCCTGGTGCAACTTGAGGCCGTTTCCTCTCCTATCGCTTGTTACTTGGGAGAAGAGACTGACACCCACCTCGCTACAACCTCCTTTCAGGTAGTTGTAGAGAGCGATAAGGGCTCCCCTGAGCCTCCTTTTCTCCAGGCTAAACAACCCAAGTCCTTTCAGTTTCAGTTTCTACTCTGAGTATCTGTCGAGACTGGTGGTCTTTCTTCATAGTTGAGTGAACGGAGTACGTTTTGTTAGGAGCTCTAGAAGTCATAGGGCAACTGGGGATTAAGATATTAAAATGCACCATTAAAATAAACATTCTTTGGAACTCAATCACACAAGGTGAAGCTCAAGACTTACGAACTTTTAAATGTTCTTTTGAAAGATTAAGATTAAAATTATGCATATGATAGCATCAGAAACTGGGTATTGTTACTCAATATGTCTGCAATATCACCATTCCCACACACACTTTTTTGTTAACTTGAGCACTACAGGTTCATGAATTTGGAGCTGAAAACACAGGTTCAGACCTAGATAATGAACAAAGTAAGGCTCAGCATTTAAACTTCTCATGGCAGTCTTTGTCTACCACATGGATTATCCCGAGTAATATTTTTAAATTCCCTGGATCCTAAGTATTATTGATTTTAATTAGGATTTAAAAATAGGATTTAAATTACTTCAGAATCCCAGTGCTCTAGAAAAATTTGTATTTCTCTCACTTTATAATAGACTAGATAATTAAGTTCACACAACTCATCTGACAGGAACCCTTCAGTCATGCAGATCTGAGGAAGCCAAGGCACAGACTGTCCTCAACAATCACGTCTGCATTACAGTCCACTTCAAACAAAACATGATGTTGAAGGCAGAAGCCTGGACCCAGTTGTTGCCCTCATGCAAATTTTTAACTATGCTTCAGATTCTTACATGTATCATATATTCAACTGGAATTGCACATTACTTAGGTAACTCCTATGAAATTTTATCTCTTTCCTAGGACTATTGTGAGTTTTTCTTTTTCTTCTTAAATTAAACTTAGATTTCAATTAACAGCTAGCTTTACAGATCCTTGTAATGATTCCCCCCCACCGACTTCCAATAACGGGTACAGAAAAACCAGCATTGAGCACAGCTGCACTAATGCAAAAGGAAGCATTTGTTGTACTGCATCTCTCTTCTTCATTTATTTCCCCTTTGTGTACACAAGCCATCATACAGAACTAAGGAACTGGAATGGTGGTAAGCGCTATACCAGCTTCAGTTATTTTTACGGCTCCCAGTTTACCTCACTACCCAATCCATTTTCTGGTACGGCAATGCTAGAACAAAATAAAACAAAGAAAACACAGACCTCAAATGCATATGTCAGCTATTCAGATGAAAAACGGGGGTTTTTTTTAGCTACACTACAGAATAAAGGTTCTTCAAATAGCGTAATTCTCATCCCACATAAGCAACCACACCTGAATGGATGTGCTAATCATTTTCTCCATCAGGTTACCAAGGA